TACACAACATACAGCCCAATACTACACAGTATTTCACAGTGCAGCTCTGTGAACTGCATACAATAGCAGTAGTATATAAAGTACAACATAGTACTACACTGTGGGCCTCGTACTTTACAGCATGGTTCGGTGTAGTACTGCTGATAGTGCTGTGTATAAAGTAGTACTACATGACACTGCAGTATTCTGACTAGTTGTTTATTAACAGGTCAGTTAATGTTCAATCTGACGCTGACTCGGCGGATTTTTTTTTTTTTTCTGTCACCAGACTCCATTAACATTTCGTCTTTTTTTGCTGCTGCCTTGCTCAGCGGCTCCGGGCAGAGCTGCTGGACTCCAACTACAGGTCTGAAGTCTTTTCTGCTGCGTTCGGTAAACACAATTCATCACTAAAAGAAGAAATACTCTGTCTTGGGCCCAAACCCCGGTGATGTCTGACACTCACTGACGGCACAAAGTCGCACAGAAACGGCTGAAAGTTAAATGGAGTTTGGTTCCGCTTCTCAGAAAAACGTCATTTACACAACTACTGCATGTAACAAGGGGAACCTAAATGAGCAGATCTTTAAATGGAGTCTGGTGTGCTGAAGGTCCTGCTAAAAACACAGTACAACTTCAAGTACTCGAGTACTTTGCAGTGAAACGACGGGCCTGAGCAGTAAAACTCAGCTAGCAGCGCTCGGAGTGTGTAAATATACTTTAAACAGACCTACCTGTCGCAGTACCTGACGGCTCGCAGTACTTTGAAGTACTGAAGTACTTCTCGGTGTGTCTGCTGTTTCGGAGTTTATAGCCCCGCCCGTCCCGGCGGCTCGCGCCCACCAAGCGCACCCGAAAACTGTCGATTTATTGATTTACGATCGAAAACAAACAATAATAAGGTCAATATGCTGCACCATAAACCAGTAAAACCAGAGCTGGCTGTTTGTCTCACATGTGAGCGTTTAAAGTAAAACTTTGCATTAAAGCGCTGAACCAGCGTCGCCCTAGTGGCGCGAAAACTAACCGGAAACACTCAAGTTAAATATTTAAAACTGTAAATATCCAGCGGGAAGACTCAAACATCCAGTTTAAATAAAGCAGAGTTGTTCTTCCTACATTCAACCTAAAACATGAAGAAACCTGCTCAGAATAAACTTCATGCCATCACCATGGCAACCACAGAGGAAGGCAGGAAAAAAACAAACAAACAAACAAACAAACAAACAAACAAACAGGGCTGAAATGAAACCAAACAACAAATAATGTTAAAGAAAATTAATACAATTTTAATAAGAAAAAAAGACACACTTAAAAAGTGAACTGAAATTTAGAGCAACACAGAACACACCAGCTGGACCGAACCGACCAAGTCCAGTTCACCCGCAGTGGAAGAATGTAGCAGCAGAACCACAGAACTTCTTTATTCACAAACACAGGAACACACAAGAGCTCCAGCTGATCAGCAATCACTGATCAATAACAGTGCTGACAGGAGAGAATCTTGCTGCTTTGGTATCACGTTGCATCGACCACCAGCAGAGGCTCTGCTGTCTGGGTCCGTACACTATGAATGGGGATCACTTTTTGGCAGCAGAGGCTCTGCTGTCTGGGTCC